TCATATTTAGTTAGGCTTAGCAGTCTGAATAATTCAAATGCTAACACACCGGCTACAGCAGCAAGAAGAATGACAGCTTAAAAAAAGTAAATAAAATTCATATTTAGTTAGGCTTAGCAGTCTGAATAATTCAAATGCTAACACACCGGCTACAGCAGCAAGAAGAATAGACAGCTTAAAAAAGTAAATAAAATTCATATTTAGTTAGGCTTAGCAGTCTGAATAATTCAAATGCTAACTCACCGGCTACAGCAGCAAGAAGAATGACAGCCTAAAAAACGTAAATAAAATTAATATTTAGTTAGGCTTAGCAGCATGAATAATTCAAATGCTTGAAACATTTCCGTAAATGATCTAGTGAGCCTATCTAAAACTTATTCTCAACACGAAAAAAACAACAATCATCTGAATTATTTATGAGGTAATGTTTTAAATTTACTAACAAACTTTGATCAAATATTTTCTATTGGTTGAAAAGGATTAAGCTCCGAAAGTAATAGGTTAAACAAAGCATATATGTCAGAAGCGTTGTCAAGTTTCAACGCGGACTTTACCTTCAACATGGTGTTTGAAATCCCTTAGAAAAATTCTTCGAGAAGCCTTGCTTGTCTGTTGTAATTCCTCCTTTTTATATACATGGCCAAAAGAGGGCGAATGTTGTTTCTGACAAACTCCAATAACATAGGGGAAAGTAAAAATAAAATAAAAATAGAACAAAGTGTCCAAAACTGTAAAAGCTAACAGGGCAGGGTTATTACTATAGTTGTAGAATTGACCCCAAAAATTAACTTGTACTCGCTAAAGGACTAGTTACACCCTCTGTTGTTAAAACTAGGGCTGAAAAAGTATAAGAGGAGCGAAAGATGTTAAACATTATATAATATTTACACCCTCTATACTAATTGTTGATGTTTTCTAACCCTTTTTTTTTAATGGATAAATTACTTTATTTTCAAAAATATTGAAACATATTTTTCCAGAAACACTAGGTATAGTTCGGTCAACACGCCATATAAATGGTGCAGCACTCCCTGCCCTCTGGCGTCAAAAGTATAAAAAACGATCCATATTATTTGTCACTAGATTTTAATCAGCTTTACTCTACATATAATCTTTCTCACCCCGATTTTTGTTTGTTTGTTTGCTGAATGACAGAGGAGAATGTGACGATAAATCAAATCATTAAAATTTGTTTCCGATTAGACCTTAAATATTATGAAAATATAAAACGAGCAATAAAATTGTCATTTTTATATTGAAACGACCGGATTTATTGGAACTTTGTGAATTTCATTTAAAATTGTTGATATATCTGACGTACTAAGGCCCGGCATGGCCAGGTGGTTAGGGCGCTCGACTCGCAATCTGCGGGTCGCGAGTTCGAATCCCCGTCCCACTAAACATGCTCGCCCTTTCAGCCGTGGAGGCGTTATAATTTGACTGTCAATCCCACTATTCGTTGGTAAAAGAGTAGCTCAAGAGTTGGCGGTGGGTGGTGATGACTAGCTGCCTTCCCTCTAGACTTACACTGCTAAATTAGGGACGGCTAGCGCAGATAGCCCTCGTGTAGCTTTGCGCGAAATTCGAAAAGAAACAAAACAAATAAACTGACGTACTAAAATCTGCAACCACAATTGAACAAATAACGATCATAGGTGGCTATTCAAGTTGACACTGGAATCTTATTTGCCTATCATATGACGTCATTAGAAATTGCATTTGAAACTGTATGATGTCATTCACTCAATGTTAACACTTGAGCAAAATGTTCATATTACATCAGCTACTGCCCATCATGTCCTGCCTAGTTTGGAGTCTGTTACAGAAATGCTTTGTTGTTAAGTGCAAAGCCATACAATGGGCTATTTGTGTCCATTACGGGTATCGAAACCCGGTTTTTAGCCTTATAAGCCTTCAGACATATCACTGAGCCACTGCTACAAAATTTCAATTTAAATACTGAGACAAGAGAGATTTTTTGTTTTAACACTGCAGAAACGCAAACCCGCATTTACAGTTACTCCTAACAGGAGTTAAGCCTAATTTATACTTACTGACTGTATAGGAGTTAAGCCTAATTTACACTTACCATCTTTACAGGAGTTAAGCCTAATTTACGCTTACTGACTTGAGAATAGTTAAGACTAATAGACGCTTAAAGACTTTGTAGGAGTTAAGCCTAATTTATGCTTACTAACGTTGCAGGAGTTAAGCTTAATTTATCACCGAGTTCTCAAGACGAAATAAAATTTACTGCGTTTCAAGGTCACCTTGCAGCGCCACCTATGATGATATTTTTCAGTACCGTATATGCTTTATACGTCTGTACCAACTGACAAAGCTGTAGGTTCTACGGTATTCCGCCATCTTTACATTTGAATTTATTTTGTAGCATTCCTGAAAACCTTGAAAACTGTTTGAAGAACAAGGATTTTGAAAGAAATACACCAAGTTATTTCTTGTTTCTGTTTTAATAACTTGTATCCCATCGTTTTCTGTGCAACAAGTTGCGAACAATTTATGACCCTCTGACACAACTCTGCGGGAGTGAGAAGCAGTGGAGAATCGAGCCCCGGATTTTAGCGCTGAGCCAACGTGGAACATAAACGTCATTCTATCTGAAACTTTATCTCGGATTGTATAAATAAGAACCTATTAAAGTTTTTAAGGTTAACTCACTTGTTTGACAATATAGAAACTATAAACGTTAGAATGTTAACTCGACCAACAGTCTAAAATAGGCCTAAAGTTTTCCCGATTCTGTCAATTTAACACAGTATATTTTGTATACGTATCTTTGTTACTTAAAATGCAGGACGTATTTTGCCAAATTCATCAGAACCACTTAGAAGCAGGTTTCTCGTGTAAACCCTCCAACATAGCATGGTTAAAGAGTTGGATTACAAACTCGTCCGATCTGACACATTAGCATGAGTAAAGTTGTGCTACAGACTGATCTGATATGTAAAAACACAGTAACATGAGTAAAGTTGTGCTACAGACTGATCTGATATGTAAAAACACAGTAACATGAGTAAAGTTGTGCTACAGACTGATCTGATATGTAAAAACACAGTAACATGAGTAAGTTGTGTTACAGTCTGATCTGATATGTAAAAACACAGTAACATGAGTGAATCTATGTTACAGTCTGATCTGATATGTAAAACACAGTAACATCAATTAATCTATGTTACAGTCGGATCTGATGTGTAAAATCACAGTAACATCAATGAATCTATGTTACAGTCTGATCTGATGTGTAAAAACACAGTAACATCAATGAATCTATGTTTCAGTCTGATCTGATATGTAAAAACACAGTAACATGAGTGAATCTATGTTACAGTCTGATTTGATGTGTAAAAACACAGTAACATCAATGAATCTATGTTACAGTCTGATCTGATATGTAAAAACACAGTAACATCAATGAATCTATGTTACAGTCTGATCTGATGTGTAAAAACACAGTAACATGAGTGAATCTATGTTACAGTCTGATCTGATATGTAAAAACACAGTAACATGAGTGAATCTATGTTACAGTCTGATCTGATGTGTAAAAACACAGTAACATGAGTGAATCTATGTTACAGTCTGATCTTATGTGTAAACACACAGTAACATGAGTGAATCTATGTTACAGTCTGATCTGATGTGTAAAAACACAGTAACATGAGTGATTCTATGTTACAGTCTGATCTGATATGTAAAACACAGTAACATCAATAAAGTTCTATTATAGACTCTATAAAACACAACTTTAGGGAGTAGATTGAAGATGTATAAACCACGACTGTTTGGAGTAGTTTTCGGCTGTATAAAACACGACTGTTTGGAGTAGTTTACGGCTGTATAAACCACAACTTTAGGGAGTAGATTGAAGATGTATAAACCACGACTGTTTGGAGTAGTTTCCGGCTGTATACAACACGTGTATTTAGAGTAGTTTTCGACTGTATAAAACACGACCGTTTGGAGTAGTTTCCGGCTGTATAAAACACGACTGTTTGGAGTAGTTTCCGGCTGTATAAAACACGACTGTTTGGAGTAGTTTTCGGCTGTATAAAACACGTCTATTTAGAGTAGTTTTTGGCTGTATAAAACACGACTGTTTGGAGTAGTCTCCGGCTGTATAAAACACGACTGTTTGGAGTAGTTTCTGGCTGTATAAAACACGTCTATTTAGAGTAGTTTCTGGCTGTATAAAACACGACTGTTTGGAATAGTCTCCGGCTGTATAAAACACGACTGTTTGGAGTAGTTTCCGGCTGTATAAAACACGTCTATTTAGAGTAGTTTCCGGCTGTATAAAACACGACTGTTTGGAGAAGTCTCCGGCTGTATAAAACACGACTGTTTGCAGGTACATATATCAATAATGATTTAGTTAAAAGCGCGTGATCACAGAGGTGTAGCCCATTAAACCAAACATATGCGCGTGTCGTTCTGTACACTTGTACGTCATGGCAGAAAGAATGAAGAGAAAATGGCGGCTTCCAAAATCTGCCAATATAAGGTTATTCGACCTTTATAACAACGATGTACCAGGTTCCTTGGAACTACAGTCTCAATTGTTATTTGTGCTCATTCTAGTGATCATAATGGAAGAGTGGTTGCATTGTTCATTATTGGAATTAGATACAGCGACCAATAATAAAGATTTAAGCATTTGAGAAGCTTTGGCCATCAAGAAACTCAAACTAAGGTTGAATTATATTTCATCAGACATTGAAATCTTTCTGAAAATGTCAGAACTCCAGAATTGATACAACATCAACTACAAAATTTAAATGGGCGCTAAAACATCAATAAAGGGTATCTTTAACCAAATTCCATAATTAAGTATTAATATACTAATTTATAATGTTACCAACTGTGGGTGTGCATAAATAAACATCAACTATATTTACATAATTTTCGTTTTTAAAAAAATAAATTATATACAGCACTAAGCGAAACAAGTTTAATTCTTTAAATGTGATGTTTCAAAACCATTCGGCATCTGTGGTTAAGCCATCAACCTTAAGACTAGTAGCAAAATTTTGGAAGATTTTGTTTAAGGCTTAATTTGAATCTTAATTATTAATGAATAGCTTCCAAATCACGTAAAGCGATCTTTGATTTAAGATAACTGTAATGGTTGACACTCATGCAGTGTTACCCTAAAGAAAATTATATAATTTTTTCAATGTTCACGTGACTGGATACTTTAAATACCTGAAGCACTATTGGTTTACCACTCGGTTTATTTGAAGAACCAGCCTATTGTAGAAAGTATTACATAAAGTTAGAAACGGGTTTTTACCACATTCGTATATTGAATAAATCAGTTCTTTTATTTGAGCTAGGACTTAAAACGAACAACGTGTACGTACAGTTGAAATTCTAATAGTCACAATGTTAAATTTAAATTACTAAGTTACTGTGTTATAACTAATTGATATTTACTGTGTATTTAGTATGTATTTGATCATATCATTTTCTAAGATCACTCACAATGGACAAACTCTGTTATTTAACACTGTTCGGCGTTGTTCTCAACAATATGAACACGTGCTATGGTGTGAACGCCTTTTACAAATTATCGAACATGAGTATAATTAATTAGACATGTCAAAGGCATCAGTATTAGGCCTTTTCATTTTATAAAACTATAATTTTTTATCTAGTCCCTTAGGAAATTTCAAGAATTAGAAGAGTGTATAATGATAGTATTCCATCCACTTTTTTTCGCCATGTTCTTTGCCGACGACGCGTTTCGCTCAATCCAGAGCTCGTCAGAGTGGCTGACACAACACAACAACACAGCATATTTAATCGATATCAACACATATCTCGAAACCTGCTTAGCGCTATTCATTTAAACTTTTATAATTACAAGTCTGAGGGTTCTTATTTTTTGTTTTTAATTGATGCTGTGTGCCTTAATGTTGCCTCGACATGATTAACTGCGCCTTTAAAATGTTCGCTAAGCCTAATGACGACTCCCGAAGCATACCGAAAGGCTATTTTTTGGAGGATATGGTGAACACCCGTTTTTTTTTAAGACTTTTAATTCTAATTTCATTTTTAGTCGTTGTGATTTGCTAAAAAAGAAAGATGTTCTAACACTTGCAGAATTTTTTTTAAACAACAACAACAATTTATTTCAACAAATATACACACCCATGCAGTTGCGTGTCATTTTGTGTTTCAAGATCATTTTCTTAAGATTATTTTAACATAAATATCGAAACATTTCTATAAAGCACAAAATAGCGTATTTAACATGCATTTGGCTGTGGTAGCAATAATGAAATAAAACTGTATTACTCTAAAATTTGGAAAATTAATTTGCAAGTTTTTCAATTCTTTTCAGCATAACCTTCACCTTTTTTATTTTCTCCCAAATGCGCATGCTCACCAAGCTGATTGGACTTCTTTTTTTTTTTCAAAAACAAATTTAATGGACCTTGACATGCTTGACAAGGACTGGGTGGTAGGGAGCGTAGACATGGGCAGCGGGGATCACGTGCTTTACCACGGGGTGCTTGTAAACGACGGGAGCGGGAGCTGGATTGGCATTGACGGTAACGTCGGCGGGATTCTGGTTGTCAGTGCCGGGCTCGTTGGTGTCGACCGCGGCACGGAAACCGCCGGCATCAGCGGTGTAAGTCACCTTTCTCCAGATGCCGTTGGCATCGGCATAACCGTAGCTTCCAGAGACAGCTCCGCTGGCGTCACCGCTCTCCTGGCGGCTCAGTTGAGTACCAAACTCATCGGCAGTCTGGAAACCAAAGTCAAATGGTTCGGGAGCAGCCTGGAATGAGAGTCGAAACAGAACTGTATTAGAATTATTACTATTTTACTTGTTGAGCATTTGATTGGTTAACTGTTTCGTGTGTTCATTATTGACACTATTTGATTGGTTAACTGTTTCATGTGTTCATTATTAGCACTATTTGATTGTTAAATATTTCACTTGTTCATTATTGGCACTATTTCATTGTTAACTGTTTTACTTGTTCATTGTTGGCACTAGTTGATTGTTAACTGTTTCACTTGTTCATTGTTGGAACTAGTTGATTGTTAACTGTTTCACTTGTTCGTTGTTGGAACTAGTTGATTGTTAACTGTTTCACTTGTTCATTGTTGGCACTAGTTGATTGTTAACTGTTTCGCTTGCTCATTAATGACACTATTTGATTGTTAACTGTTTCACTTGTTCATTGTTGGAACTAGTTGATTGTTA